CTATACTTAGAGGAGGGAGATGTCAGGGGCAGCCCTGTTTACACACTGAAGGCCTAAAATCAGCCATAGGTCTAAAATCAGCAATAGGCCTGTCATACTTGTATACTAACACCAAGTCTTGGGTCTCTGTGAAAAAAACATTGAAACAGACGGCTATAAGCTAATGTAAACAGGCAGCTTTTGTGGAAATTTACAAGCCTGAGTAGTCATAGACCTTGTAAATAGGTAGCCTTGGCAGACAATACCAACTTAGATAAGGACAAGTGAATCACAGGCAGAGTCATAGTGACCTGTCCCCTGAACCTTCACCCAGCCGATACCCTGTTCTGAAAGATATCTGTATTCCCCCTGAACACCCACACTCCAGTGTCATCCCCTTCCCCACATCCTGCCTTTCTGTGTTTATAACCCCTGTGTGAATGAATTACGATTTGAGAAAAAAAATAAATAAATTATTAAAAAAAAAGAGTTGTCTTGGTCATGGTGTCTGTTCACAGCAGTAAAACCCTAACTAAGACAGAGGACAATACCTCAATTAGACTCTAGACATTACCAAATAAAACTTCCAGTATACAGAATGGGTTATCGATTTTTGAGTTGTTGGCCAGCAGGTTCCCAGAGAACCCCACCCCAAACATTACAGCTAGTGCCAATGCTATTGGTCACCTCCAGAACCTGATGGCAAGACCCTGTTGTTGAAGACACCACCTACTTGAATCGTAGAACATGGAGAAATCTAGCTGGTACCTACTGGCAAGCATTCATAGTGCTGGAAAGTGCTGTGTAGGTGACCAGAGGAGAAAAGTCAGCCCCAAATCTCACTCAGCTCTGAACCCTACAGGTGATAACAGCCTGCCTGGTGAGATATGCCCCCTGATGAAATAGTGGTACAAATGTCATTTCCAAACGGACTTGAAGGCCTGCATATCTGACACTGTCAATGAAGCCACGAATCTGTGACTAGATATGTCATAGTCCCTAGGGGAAATCTACTACTATTATTCTACTCAGTGGACAAAGCCAATACAGCATCTCTTAATAATTTAAAGCAATAATCATAAATCAGTGCATCATTTAACCCTCATCTTCCTTCAGGAGAAGACAATTCACAGAAACTCACAACTGGTCAATATACTGAGAAAAGACATGGAAATGCTCAGTCCTCCAAGGTTCAGGGATCTACAAGGAAAAGAAGGCAGAATTAAGAGCCAGAGGTGTAGACAACTTCAGGGAAACTTTTCCAGACAGCAGGATAGGCTCAGGTGTGAACTAGCAGAGCTTGTGAGAGCACACACAAGACCTGCACAAGCTGAAGCCAGGTGAAATCCCAGTATGGGGGAGGGAAAGTGGGCATGGCTCACTGTGGAACTGTTGGCGGCATCTCATCACTGCTGGGACAGGAAGTCAGCTTTCTTCAAGGAGTGACATCTGGTATATTGACCAGTCTCCAGGGCAAATCCTATTCCATGAGTAGTCTGCTAACACAAACTGAATTCCTGCTTTGTTTTAAGATAGAGAAAGGATATGAAGTTGGGTAGGAAGATGGAGAAAGATGATCTGGGAGGAACTGAGGGACGAGATGAGTATGATATAAATACATTGTATGACACTCTCAAAGATTAAATAAAACATTAATTTTTTTTCTAAGACAAGGTCTCACTTGTGTGTGTGTGTGTGTGGGGGGGAATTGAAAGGCCCACGTGGGCGTGCAGGCGCGCGGGCTCACAGTTCTCTGTATCTTGTTGGGTGGATGGTGATTCCCACTGTTTCAGGAACCTTGACTGAATTCGTTCCATGTGACACTGGGCGGGCAATGGGCCATGAGAGGCTGCCAGGGCTCCCTCGGGCGGGGAGTGAACTCAGCATGATTTTGCAGGTGGCACAGAGCTCTTGAGTGGGAATCCCCTGGCCCAGAGATAGTCAGGGACCGATTGGCCTCAATACTTGGGGTCCCATATGCCGCTGGGACCGCAGCAGAATGAAGGCAGGGAGCTCGTGGCATGCAAGATCAGCCCGCACGCTGAGAGAGACAAGGGGGAAGAGAGAGCTCTGGTGCTGCGCCCCATGGGAAATGCTTGCTTGTTATACTTACTTGGCTGGAAGGCTGCAGTTCCTTTGAAGATGCAGGCCCTGCAGTGGAAATGCAAAGAAGCTTTCCATGACAGCAGGCCCCAATGACTTGAGGGAGTCTGAGGCTCCAAGAGTTTTATTGACATGGATGATAGATGATCTGGATGTGCACCCCCAGTTTAGGTCAGGGTGGGCCTGACTTAAATAGGGAGGGGGGAAGAGAGGAGGGTCACTTAATTAGCTATGCCTTCTGGCCTTTAGATAACTCATCAATATGGAAATCTCTTGAGGCTGAAGCCTGTAGTCATGCCCTCTACCTGTGGATGGTGACACAAACCTCTCTGAGAGGGGATGCTTTGTCCTACGTGACTGAACGGTGCGGATTAAATGGAGATCTTCGCCATGTGTTAGAAGCCTGGATTCTGGGAGTGCGTCAGAATAAATGCCTGTCCCTTGTAGGGTCTCTGGGCTACTTCCAGCCAGCACTTCTACCAAAACCTAAGACCCCTTTCCCGGCCCCATACTCACTATGTAGCTCTGTCTGTCCTATATTCATTATGTAGACCAAGCTAGCCACCTGCCTCTGTCTCCTGACTTGTTAGGATTAAAGATGTGAAGTCTGGGCCACTACACCCAGCCTAAAAAAATGTTTAAAAGAAATAATAATTTTTTAAATAGAAAAAAACCTGTGTTATTTTTTTTCGTGTTCTGATTTAACAATTAATGAAAATTATACTAAGCACCAAGAAGAGGAAAGGCCACTTAAAACTAGAAAAATAGCTACAAAAAAAGATCATAGTCCTGACACGAGATGAAGTAAAACATCGAAGCAGGTAAGCATCACAAAGTTCACAAACTTAAAACAATACTTCAACTATGAGGTGGACAGGTATCTTTTCCAGCACTACTCGGTCCTGGAAACTTGTCTGGGGCATGAGAAAGAAGAACATGGACAGAGACGGAAGTACAGAAAAGCTGGTGTTGGACAGGAGTGTCACCTGCTACTATGTAACAACCCCAGAATCGAAGCCATTTATTTTGCAGCGCACAGGAAGCTAGCTGTTAGCTAGTATGGGTGGAGGTGTCTGTAGGGGAGCAGTCTCCAACTGTAAACATTGGGAGAAGGAAGCTGAGGTCCCTAGATTTTGCACAAGCTTTCAATATTCACATGGACCAGAGGAAGACTCTGTTACCAGAGTTCTTACGCGTTGGTCCCCATCATTAATACATGTTCACTTGGGACTTCATCCACACCTTTAACATTCACTGGAGGAGGCATCCTCTGATCCTCAGAGGGGTAGCTTTTAGACCAAAACATTGAACTGTTTTTTCTTGCTGAAGTGCTTCAGGTTGAGCCCCGGATTGCTTGCACGAGAGGCAGGTGCTCTACCACTGAGCTACATTCTCAGCTTCTACAATGAAATCTCCCACCTACACAGGTTACTTAGATGTCTGCTGTGGCCGCGCATGCTCCCTCTGCTGAGTTACTCCTCCTGACTTTCTGCACATGCTCCCTCTGCTGGGTTACTCCTACTGCCTTCCTGCAGTGTAGAATGGGACGTATGAATATTTTCTGACGTTACCCAGGCTGTCATATACCTGAACCCAGGCACTCAGCAAGCAGTGATTCTCTCTAGGCTCGACACTTCCCAAAGTGCTTCCAGAAACGCCCCCGGAAGTCTTAACCCTCTTCTCTTAGCAGCCATGTTTTTGGAGGAAGGACGGTTTCTTGGAGATAAGGACCTGTCCAGAAGTAACATTATTTGTACTTCATTCTCCTGAAAAGGAATTTTGAGTTAGTTGAGATCAATGATATAACAGAGAGTCTTGGTTCAGGTACGGGTAGTTAAAGTTGCAGGTCAGCTAGCTTGCTAACCGAAGGCCGTCGCAGGGGATGCAGAGCTGGAGAAACAAAGGTCAACTGAGTGTTCCAGGAATCTGTTCCTGTGATAGTTGACTTAGCCTCCTCTGGAAAAACTCCCACCAGAGGTCCCAAGGACTTGCGAATTAAATTCAGCCAGATGGTCTGTTGGCTCAGATAAACATTAACACTGGGTCCCAAGGCCACAGGGCCCCCAGACTGTTCCCGTGAGATTTGTCAAACCTCTGCCCGGGATCTGCTTACACATATTGCAGACATTTGAAACAACCAATTGTGTGTGACTGCGCCACATCCCCCTCCCTTCCCCTGGACTTTGCCTATATTAACCCTAAGCTTTTGGGCCTCGAGGTCAATTCCTCTACCTCCTGTGTGAGACACGTATCGCCCGAAACTTCAATAATAAAGAACCTGACTCATGTGATTGCAGCAAGACGGTCTTTGGAGTGTCTTTGGGCTTGCATCCTTCCAGGGTCTCCCTTGGGGGAGTCTTTCACTCCAAAGTCTGTAATTTCTCTAACAACCTCAGAGTTGGGGAAAAGAAAGCTGAGGAAGGACATCTCTGTGTTCTGTCAAGCATTTCGCCCTAAGTAAAGTCTCACTTTACCTACCTACTTGAGAAGGGGGATGGAAAGGAACCTGGGAGAGTATACACATGAACATCTCAGAATATTGTCTAACAGTTTCCTTACAGTGCAGTTTTTCTGTCATTTGTCTGTGACAGGGTTGTCTCATGTGTGATCCAAGCTGGCCTCAAACACACATAACAGAGGGTGACTTAAAACTCTAGGTCCTCTTGTCTCTACCTTCTCAGAGATCCGATTAAAGGTATTGCACCATTACCCATACCTGAATTTGGTGCTAGGAATAGAAGTAACAGACTGTAGTGGATTATACAGTGTGTCTCCTTTCCAGCCCAGGTGTATCTAGGTGTTAATTCCTAGAAACTGTGACAGTTGCCTTATTTGCAAAGACTTTGTAGAAAGAAACAACTAAGTCATATTTATCTTCAGCCTTCAGCCAGAAGTTGATGAGACATAAATTAAAGACATTTTGGTTTTAAATAATCATATTTGATCTTTATTGTACCAACAGTTAGCAACATTTTAAACAATTCTATTTATTTATTTAATTACTGTTATTGTTGGGACCGATGGCACATGTCTGTAATCATAGCAAACTGGGAGCAGAGGCAGGAGAATCATGAGTTTGAGGGAAGAGTGAAAGTTATAGCAAGTTCGAGACCAGCCTGAACTTCTGAGTAAGCTAATTGAAAATCCAAGGGCTGGGGTATAGCTCGTGGCGAGTGCTTGCCTAGAATGCTCTGGGTTCGATACTCAGTATACCAACTTGATCAAAAAAGTAGTTTTTCATCAAAAGCTCAAGTAACCCAGAAGTTTGTAGCTGTTTTTAAAGATATGAATTATTTAGTTCTATGACTTATTTGAAGATGTTACAAACAGTTCATCCCCTGCTGCTGGAAAAGGGTTCTGTTCGTTTGGTCAGTTAGCTGGGGGCCTTTGGGAAAATGACTTCCCACCCTGAGCCTATTGGCTGCTTCTCCTGCAGGACTATCACTGGCTCCCGAGTGTGCAGGAACATTTAGGTCCTTGGTACACAATTCATAGTTCTGGGCTCTGCCCTAGGTCTTTTGAATCAGATTTTCTAACATTGGGGTTCCTATGACTTTTTTTGTTTGTGTCCTAGGGTTTGCTTCTTGAGGCAGTGTCTCATTCTGTAATCTCATCTTTCTTTGGACTCACAAGAATCCTCCTGTCTCAGTTCCATAAGTGCTGGGATGACAGGCGTGAGATACTATGCTCAGTTTCCTTACACATTCACTTTTGAAAGATTTATCTTATGTGTATGCATGTTTTTACCTGTATGTATCTATACACATTACACGCATGCTTGGTACCTGTGGAGGTCAGAAGAGGGCATCAGATCCCCGGGAACTGAAATTATAGAGGCTGTGAGACACCGTGTAGATACTGGGGCTCTAACCCAGATTCTGTGAGGCACAAGTACTCTTAACCTCTGAGCCATATCTCCATCCTCCATCTGTATTTTAAATAACTGAGTGATCGTCATAAACATCCGAGTTTGGGAACTATTGAACTCCAGGGTCCTTCAAATTTCCTTTTTTTTCTGATTTTTGTCCTTTCTGTCACTGCCCTATTTCTGCTGCTAGCTATTGTAACAAAGTAAACCACAAGATAAACAATTAAAAAAAAAGTTCATGATTTCATCATCCTCGAATACCCCCAGAGCTTTGGTGATGGAAGGTGGTAAGTACTCACTAAATACTCAAAACAGTAATCAATGGTGATCAAAGAAGCAAGCGTTATATGGATCCCAATCACCTACAGATAGAGAAACACAAGAAAAGAAAACCACTTAAAACCTCTGAATACACTCCGGCAGGTCTTGCAGCCATGTTACACATTTCATGTATACACAAATCAGCGCCTATCCAGAGGAGCTGTGAGGAGGGGATCCAGAGTCTCCTGTGGGCTAGATTGTCCCGTGGTGTTTTATGGAGTTGGTGACAGCTTGTCATTCAACAGAAGCCAGCTTTCTTCTCTTTGATCTTCCCAGGGCCAGGACCACTAGTACCTGCCTAGGTGAGGTGTCTTGGGGCCTATGCTGCTACTCTATAAATCAGCAAGGGCCACATCAGGTTTCTGGCAACCCCAGCATATGGGAGGAGACATCAGCCTGCAGTGGAAGTGAGCCAAGCATGCTGTTCTCTGCCCACGATATAAATATAATAACACCTCTTGTGATCCCTCTGTCCTTTGCCCTGTCCCCTGTTCCCCACTGGCTACCCTTTGAGCTCACCCACTCAAACACTGTCTGCTGGCCTTGGCAGGTATCTGCTGAGGATGAAATCTGTTATAGGGGTGGGCAACTTAGCCAGGGGGATATAGAGAAACTTGACATCCAGGCCAGGGTTGTAGCGGGTGCGAGGGCTCCGGGAGACAACGGCGTGTTCCATGCTGTTGGTGACATCACTGATTCTTGGCTCTGCCGACCTCATCAAATTAACCAACTTTTCAGTATCTGTTTGAGACATTGGGGGTGAAAGGAGAATGGAACAAAATTCTTTTGTTATTATTCTTTTTAAATGTGCTTTTCCCCCCGAATTTTATCCAAGGAACCTGTCTATCAGAAGATCGATTCAGTGTTTAAAGCAAGTCTCCCACACAATTCACAGTATCCCTTACCTAAACACCTATTTACAGGACCATTATAATAGCTCATTTTTCTCTCTTTAAACACTAGAATTGTGTCCTCAAATCTCACTGCTTTATTAGATGATCAACAGAAAGATTCTGCCCAATTCTTCTACAATAAATCACCTAGCAGCCATGTGACCTGGAACGTGAGCTATGATCATCTGTAATAACGTGGACCTTAGAGAACAGCAAAGATGATTGTCATCTTTCTGTCCCTGAGAAGGAAACATAAAAGGAAGGGTTATTTTGACTCAGTCCTGCTGTTCTGTGCTTGCCATGAAGTCAGACATCAGGGCATAGCGTGAAAATGCTCTCTTCATGGTGTCCAAGAAGGAGCAGGGGATGGAAAAGAGATGGAGAAGGGAAGGAGGGATGGAGGGATGGAGGGATGGAGGGATGGAGGGACAGAGGGATGGAGGGATGGAGGGATGGAAGGGATGGGGGCAAGGGCAACATGCAGTCCCCAAATGCATGTTCCTAAGGACACACTCACTATTTCAAGTAGGGTCCAGATAAAGTCTGCATTATCTTCCACAGGCTGGGGAAGTCTGAACCACCAGAAGATTAATCCTTTGTTTGTTTGGTTTTCTTTTGAAGACAAAGTCTCACTCTGTATCCTAAGCTGTCCTGGAACTCACTATATAGCTCAGGCTGATCTCAACACTCATGGCAATCCTCCTGTTTCAGTCTTTCAAATACTGGAATTACAAGTGTGAGCCTTCACATCTGTCTTCCCCAATCTTTCCTAGAGTGTGCATGCATGTGTGTGTGTGTGTGTGTGTGTGTGTGTGTTCCTGAGGATTGAGCACAGAGTTCCAGACACACTAGTCAAGTACTCTATCACTGAACTACAGCCCAAAGTGGGCTTGATCCATTGATAACACCACATGATTCAATGGCTCCCAGAATGCCCCACTTCTGAATATTGCTGTCTTGGGAACCCAGCCTGTAACATGTGAGCTTTCAGAAGCCATTTCCAATTCAAACCATAAGAATGATCAATAGCAGAGTAGATGATATGGAAGGACAGAATGAAAGAGGTGCATAGTCACACACACACACACACACACACACACACATACACAAACACCCACACACCCACACATAGATATACACATGCATACACACACATATATATACGTACACATACATACACACACACATACACATAGATATATACATGCACACACGTACATACACACATACGTGCACACACATACACATACACATACATACACACACACATATACTCACATACACACATACACATAGATATACACATACATACACACATATACACACATACATACATACACACATACACATACATACACACATGCATATACACACATACACATATATATATACATATATATATACACACAGATACATACACATACAAACATAAAAACATATACACATACATATATACATACACATATAACACACATACATACATGCATACACACACATTTATACACACAGATACATACACATACAAACATAAAAACATACACACACATACACATATACATACACACATACATATATACATACATACACACATACACATATATACACACATACATATACACACATACATATATACATATACACACATATATACACACATACATACACATAAAAACACAGACATACATATGCACACACATATACACACATACATACACACACGTATATACACATAAAAATACACACATACATATGCACACACATATACACACATATATACACACATATATACACACATATATACACAATACATACACACATACATATAGATACACATACACATACACGCACATACATATACACATATACACATATACACATGCACACATAATACATACACACATACACACATATGCACACATACATACACACATATACACAAATACACACACATACACACATACACACACACACACACATAAATCAAAACTAAGTGAAAAAAAAAAACAAAAGAAAAAACAAACAAAAAAACTAAGTTAAACTATTGGCTAGTGGGATACCTAGTTACTGCTGTTAATTTTTCTTCTACGAGTTCTGTTGTCTACAAAAACATCTGGGGAAAAAGGTATTAAAATCAGTGATTCTGAACACAGGTGTGGAGACACAGATAGGTGGCTAAGTAGTTCAAGCCTGTTGGGGCTCATGACATGAATAGTAGGCAGGCCTCAGGTACTCACCATGCTCCTCCTCCTGGGCTCTGGGACAGAGGTAGGTATGTAGAAAGGGGATGGGGTGGGATTCAAACTTCAGCAAGAGTAAGGACTCCAGAGAAAGTAGGCTTGAGGGTCAGACTTCCCTGACAAGGCATTAAAGCTTGGAAACAGTAACAAAGCTGTCCTGATTTAGCCTGTTCTAGGTAAGTAAATCAACCATTAACTCTGGGCCAGGATGCTTAGAGATAGTTGGTGGGCCTGGGCAAAGGCACTCAAGAGTCCTTAGCCAGCCTCTAAAGAGCTTTCTGAGGAGAAAACTGTAGAAAACTCTAGCTACAGATTACCGCCCCCACCCCTCGAAGAGTCATGCTCACTCTCACCAGGCAGGCTGTCTTTTTAGTGACGCTGTTCTTAGACACCTCCAATGTTGTACCCGGCCTGACTCTCCCACCAGTGAGGCCTGGGCAGGAGGGTGACTGTGAGTTCTGCACACTCCCTCTCCCAGGGACATAGAGCCCATGCAGGGTGAAGGAAGACAGGGGCTGGGCCTCAGAAGGTAGCCAAGGTCCCCAGGGACACGTGGAAGGAGGTATCCAGATACAGTGGCAGGCTCTTACACTGTTTTCTGACATATTTGTTAGCTCCAATTTTTCGTAGTATGGAAAGAGAGAAAGATTCCCTCCCCGCCCTCTGCTCTCCTAGATAGTAACAGAGAGCATAGGATTTGGATTTGAGTCCTTGAGAAAGCCAATACCTCTAGACACTTGTGAATATTATACTTTACAAATGTGTCCCTTTGGTTTTGGGGTGTCATTTTTGTTTATTTTTGAGGCAAAGTTTCACTTTGTAGCCCAGGGTGGCCTCAGATTCACCATGTAGCTCAGGATAGTCTGTTTCTTTAGCCTTCTGAATGCTGGGAGTGCAGGCTTGTATCACCCCGTGCCTTGGAATATTCTATTGTTTATTTGAGAGAGGGTTTCTTTGTGTATCCTCCCTGTCCTAAAACTCACACTGTAGATCAGGCTGGTTTCAAACTCATGGAGATCCACCTGCCTCTGCCTCCCTGAGCATGGGAATTAAAGGTATATGCCACCACCACCAGGCGGAATAATGATTCTTTAAGGTTCTCTCTTTGTAAGATAAAAACTTAGAGCATGTAGGTACATTACATTACCAGCATAATGGCGGAAAGAAGGCCATATTCAATCTAAAGGAAGAGAATGACCATAACCACAAAGTTTGAATTCAGATTGTTCTTACAGGGGCCAAGTATTTCTACAAATCTGTGTGTCTCTGTGTATGTCTGTGTGTGCATCTGTGTGTGTCTGTGTGTAAGTATGTGTGTGTGTATGTGTATGTCTGTCTGTGGGTGTATATGTGTGTCTGTCTGTGGGTGTCTGTGTGTGTCTGTTTGTGGGTGTCTTGTGTATGTAAGTGTGTGTGTCTGTGTGTGTGAACTGAATTCTCACCATAACTCATTACAAATGAAAACAAACTGAGAGGTTAACTAACTTTCCAGCAGACAGTTGAAACTTGCACCTGGATAGCTTAGATCTGACCTAAATAGCACCAAAATTGCCTCTCAGCCACAGAGACCCAAGCTAATGACATCTAGAGGGAGTGGAACAGGGCTGGGCACATGGCTGCTTTCCTCAAGAACATGAATAGGGCCAGCTCAGCCTTCCGTGGCAGGCAGCCAGAGGACTCATGCCAGCTGTGTCATGGTGTGTTCTATCATCAAGAGTTGCTCTCACAAAGGGCAGTTATGGAGGAGGCTCCCCAGGAGACTTCTCCCCCAAGGCCCTATTAGTTACAACAAAGAGACACCACAGAAGGAAGTCTCATGTGCCTCCCTCTTTTGAAACCTCTGCTTCAGGATGCTCCAAGGGGACACTGGGCCCTCTGATCCTCAGACTGGCTTTCTTTCTCACACTAGGATATGCCCACCACTGGCAATTCTTTCTCCACTGCTCCTTCACCATGCCCACTCACGTGTCCCACTGGTTCACATGTCCCTGGACTAGATGTACTGCTGAGATTGCCTTCTGCCATCTTCCAGGCTCCAAAGGTCACAGACGCCTGTTAACTTGGTGAGAGAACGGGAGCCGCCTAGGCTCAGCTCCACACGCTCGCCGTCCTCTTTAGCAAGCTATGTTTATACAGTAATACTCACAGCATCTTGAGAGAGAGAGGCATGTGGAGGGGATGACATGCCCAGTGGTTTCCTCAACTTTTGTTTTTTGAGGCAGTTTCTCGCTGGACCTGGAGCTCACTGGCTGGCCAGCAGACCCTACGGATCCTCCTTCTCTGCTTTCTGGGATTTGAGTTATGTGCTATTGTGTCCTGCTTTTTTATGTGAGCATCAGGGATACAAACTCAGGTTCTCAGTAAACATCTCACTGACTGGGATATCTCAGCCCCGTAGGCATTATGTACAGATGAAAAAACTGAGGCATAAGATGACCAGTGGTTTGGAGTGGAGCCTGGCAGACTCCTGTGATTACAGCATTTGGGAAGCAGAGGTAGAAAGGTTCCGAGTTCAAGGCCACCCTGAGCTGAGCTACATACATATGAGGTTTTAAGACAGCTTGCAAGCAGGCAGTCTGGCTCCGGCACACACATTCTTTGTCACTTTGCTAATTCTCTTCTCAGTGCAAGATCTACCTGCACCTGATGTTTGGAGGACAAGTGGCAGGAGCAGGTACCACACACCCTACCATTCCCCACACTGTGGCTTTACTATGTGGGCTCTAATCTCAAACTCTGGCTTTGCAACTAACTGTATGTATGATCTCTGGGGCTAGACCTCATCAACTGTAAACCTGAAATCCAGCCAGTGACCCCAAACCTCCAGATCTTTCTCAGAGAACCCGCTTCTGCCCGGAGACTCACAGGTTTGGAAATACTCCTCTCCGTAGCTATCCCGGGTCTCCTGTGGCAGCCGATCCCACAGCTTCTTCATGCGTGATTCCAGAGCTTCTTGCCCCAGAATGGATGTCTTGTAGTTCCCTGGCTCGATGATGCTGACCTTCACCCCAAAGAAATGAAGCTCGCGCCTGTGAGATTAAGAGTTGCATTTGGTTTAGCCTCATAATGACAAGCATCAGAGACACATTTGGAAGGACCTGTCTCTCTGGGGACCTGGAAGTGTTCATCCTATCATAAAAGCTAATTTCAATACTGCCTTCATGCAAGTAAGCCTTCCTTAGGGCTTCTGTCCTTTCCCCAACTGATCAGCAGTCTGTGGTAATTTTCATTAGGCAAAAACAACAGGAAGTCAGTGAAGAATCTAGGCCAAGGCCTTCTCTCCTTCAGAGTTCTTCCTACTCAGCCCTTCATCACCCATGTGACAAAGGAATAGTGGATCTGTAAAATCCCTGCATCTTCTGAGGGCTTCCAGATGCACCTCTGCTCCAGGCCTCCCCCTGTTTGGAAAGTCAGTCAGTCAGTCAGTCTGTCTGTCTGTCTCCCTCTCTCTCCCTCCTCCTCTCTCTCCTTTTCTCTTTCTTTCCCATCTTCCCTCCCTCTCTCTCGCTCTTTCCCTCCCTGTCTCCCTCCCACTCTCTCCTTTCCTCCCTTCTTCCCTCCCCCTCTCTCCTTTTTCTCCCTCCTTCCCTCTCTCCTTATCTCTCCTCCCCTCTCTCCTTCCCTCACCTTATCCTTCCCTTCCTCCACCCCTCCCTCCCCACTTCTCTCTCCTTCCTGTCTTTTCTTCTCTCTCTTTCCTTCTCTTTCTTCCCCCTCTTCTTTCCTCCCTCTCTCTCCCTCGTTCCCTTTCTCTCTTCCTCTCTCTTCTTCTCTCCCCCTTTCTCTCTCTTTCCCTTCCCCCTTCTCCTTTCCTCCCTCTCTCTCCTTCCATCCCCACTCCTCTCTCTCCCTTACAGGACTATCAGGGTTTTCCGCACTCTGGGTCCACCCAAGAGAAGACCCACCTGGTGTCTTCTATTCTCATCCCACACAATTTTCTCCTCACTTCTTCTCTTGGTCCTTGAAGAAGGCACCAGCCATTGTTTGAGTTTCTTCCCCCCAGAACCACTATGCCCACACACTGGCACTCTCAGGCCTTCATTACTGTGGTAAAGTCCCAAGATCCCCACCTGGCTTGGTACCAGGACCCAGTCACCTGATGCTATCAGAGAAGGCCTCAACACCAAACTTGGAGACACAGTAACCGCCACCGATGACAGCCACAAGGCCACCAGAGCTGGACATGTTGACCACCCTGCCCCTGGCTTTCTTGATCATTGGCAGCATGTTCAGGGTGACATCAATCAACCCCACCAGGTTTATGTTGATCACTTTCACAAAGTCTTCTGTGGTCAACCATTCGTTGGGACCACTGGGCAGGCCCACTCCAGCGTTGTTCACCAGGGCCCAGAGGCCTAGGGTAAGAGAGATAGGTAGACAGAATTACACAGGAATCAGCAAAATCTCTGAGAAAGTTCCAGAGGCCACTACCCAACAGCTCAGCCTGATGATGGCTGAGCTGGTGGACAGCACACAAGGATAGCAAGCAGGTACACTCAAGGGTGCTGTGGCTTGGGATTCTTAAGGTCTGTCAACTAAACCAGGCTCTGTTGCAGCTGTAACCCAGGCTGTGTGAACAGAAGGCATGGGATACGGAGTATGAGATACAGCACTTTCGTACAAACCAGTTAATGCTTGAATTCTATCACCATGTAGTCTTTTCTCTATTCTTCTAAGTAGAACAAAGTTCCAGTTCACTCTTACCAAATCAATCAATCTGTGAATTCATCTAGCAAACTTCATTCATTCATTCATTCATTCATTCATTCATTCATTCATTCATGTATGTGTCTACTATGGGCCAGTTACTAAACAAAGGAGGCATAGAATAAATAAGTTGGGCTCTAACACCTCCAAGAGTTCAGACACTAGAAAGAAAAGTGTAGTAAGAATATTTATAGGTAAATGCAAAAGAGTATTTAATGAGTGCTTGTGGAAAGTGTTATCTCTTTAAATTAGGTAGGTAGGACTGGAGAAAAACAGTGTGGTTACCCAGCTCTTGGAGAGCCTCAGGGTTGAAGAACTTCAGGTTCTAGGTCTGACTGTAGCTCCAGCCTTGATTAGATTCCTTCTTTCCCTTGGCCTCGGGTCCCCTATCAAACAACGCTCTTGAGCAGTTATTCCCACAAGCCTCCTCGGCGAGGGAGCCGCTCGGGGAGAGAGCCGTGGGAGAAGGTTCCCTTCTCTTGTTTTACATACTGATCTTTTGAGGGAAATTCTACCAGGAGAGATTATGGTAAAGACAGTGGAAGCTTCTCCCTTCCTCAGGGATCCATGAACCCATTCCCCAATCCCTCTGTTCCTTCCCCTGGTGCCGTCCTATTGATTCACACAGACCTTCTTGCTGTGCTGTACACCCTCTCCTAAGGGCAGAAAAGGATGCGTGCTTCGATTCTGACCCGTCTTTCCCCTAGTTCTGGGGTCTTCACCTAAGCCATATCTCTCCCTATCTTATCCCTTCTTCAAATTAGAGCAGCTACAGGGAGATAACAGGCTGGCAGGACTTAGTTAGATCCTTCCCAGCTAAGGGAACTCTCTTGCCTTACAGAAGAGAAAGTGAGGCTTCTGAGCCTCTCAGATCCTAACCCGTCAGGTCAGTGGTCTGTGCTCCAGAGAGGGCTATGTATTGCCAGTATCTCCGACAGTGTGCTGGTTAAGTGTAATGTATTATCTTTGCTTGTTTCCCTATAAAGAATGATAGATAGTCAGAGCTCTAGGGCTGTGCTTACCAGGGCCCCTCTATCCTCCTGCCTCAGTTTCTCTGCTCCGAGATGCAGGTGTGAATCGCCTCACACAATCCCTAGCGCATCTCACACAGAAGACATTGTGCATGAAGAATAACGGTCCTCCAAAGATGGCACCTTCCCAGAATCTGGGAATTTGTTAGATTGTATGGGAAAGAGCTATAGATGGAAGGAAGGCAGCTAGTCAACTGACCTTGAGCTGGGAGGCTTTAATCCAAGTTCACTGGGTAAGCCCATATAACCACAGGACATCTAAGCAGAAAAAGAATAATGGAGGCAAAGAACCAGCAAAAAAAAAAAAAAAAAAAAAAAAAAAACCTTTAAGAGAAAATGTACCAAGCTTACTGGGAGAGAGAGTGAGCCACGAGCTAAGAAATGATAATGTGTTTCTCCAGCATACTCTTTGGAGGCACCAGTGATATGTGGCCCTCTCTAGAGCATAGACCACTGACTTGTTAGGATCTGAGGCCCGAGAGCCTCATTTTCTCCTCTGTTGGAATGTAGGTAACCTCTGAAGGTTGAAGATCTGGATGTGAGTTCTGCCTAGAGTCCCCCTAGATGAGCAAAGCTCTGCTGGGACCTTGAGTATCGAGAACCATTTGGTATTTATTTCCTCAGGAATGATGAGGTAATAAATGTGTGTTGTTTAGCCTATTCATTTGCATGAATTTGTTGCAGCAGCAACAGGAGACCGATACACCCAATGAGTAATAACACAAAAGGCCGGAGGAGGCCGGATTCAGGAAACAGGCTGGGACAGTGTGGTGGAAGAGGCTCACCCCTGCTGAATTATTCATTAACTAACTCATTCAGAAAATATCTGCTGAGCACCTTCATAGGTGCTAGGTTTCATCCTCAGGACATGGGGTGGGTAAAAAAGACACAAAGCCCACTCTCAGGGGACTTTCTTTACCCTAGCTGAGAAAACACGATAAAGAAAGAGAGAGACAGCGGGATAGCTCAGCAGAAAGTCCTGCAGCACAAGCCTGAAGACTTGAGTTCCATCCCCAGGGCTCACATGGCAGAAAGAAAGAAATGACTTCCAAAAACTATCCTTTGGCTCACACACACATTTTTCCTTCTGTCTTCTTTTTCTGTGACTCCAGATCCACAGAACGAATGCTTTCTCCTGACCTCCTCATGCATGGCACACACATACACACACACACACACACACACCCATAACAATAACAACATATTTTTTAAAAAGTAGAATGCATTATGTACTAGATAGGGCTAAAGAGAAAATCAGCAAAGAGCTAGAAGTGTTGGCCTGACCGACAGAGGTCTAGCCTCGACTCTTCAGGAGTCAGCGCTTCTCCCAGTTTCTTTACTCATAAGTAAGCAGTCTAATGTCTACACCCTGCATGCTACATGTTCACCAGGCAAGTCCCCACACATTCTTGGTACAGCCCCCAGCACAGGTCCATTTCTCCATGGAAGTAAGCCCCTGCTGAAGGCAACAACACCTATGGTGAGGTACAGAAGAGATTGACTGGTCACACTCAGAGAGTTCTACCTTTAGCCCCTTTATGATTGTCCCTAGGCTGAGCCTCCCAAGAAACATGGAGCCAATAGTGGGACTCCTAAAGTCCCTAAACCACTTCAGAGGTTTGGGCATTCAGAGCTTTCCAGCTGCTGCCTCAGAGGGGGAAATTTCCTCAGGGTGTTTCTTCCTCACTTCAGCTGGCCAAACCATGCAGCGATTCCAGATTCTACTGGACCAGAGCCTCCCAGACTGTTCCTACTTCATCTCTCCAACCCCATTTGGACATCAGGGTCCCAGAGAGAGAGAGGGGGGGGGGAGGGAGGGAGGGAGGGAGGGAGGGAG